CTCTTTATTGTTCTCCACAGTGGCTGGAGCAATTTACATTCCCACCAACAGTGTAGGAGAGTTTCCCTTTCACCACACCCCTGCCAGCACTCACCATTCTTTTTTTTACTCTTAGTTATTCTGACTGGGGTTAGGTGGTATCTCATTGTGGTTTTGATCTGCATCTCCCTTATGATGAGGGATGCTGAGCATTTTTTCATATGCCTTTTGGCTGTTCATATGTCTTCCTTAGGGAGTTGTTTATTCAGCTCATTTTCCCATCTCTGGGTTGATCCTTTTTTTTTTTTTTACCCGCTTGAGTTCTCTGTGTATTCTGGTTATCAGTCCCTTACCTGAAGCACAGTTTACAAAAATATTCTCTCATTCCAAGGGTTGTTGATTCACACTAATTACTGTGTCTTTTGCCATGTAGAAACTTCTTAATCTGATGTAATCCCACTTGTCTATTTTGGGGATTACTGACTGTATTTGGGGGTCTTATTTAAAAAGTCTTTTCCTACCCTGGTATCTCCCAGAGTTTCCCCAGTGTTTTCCAGTAGTAAATTTATAGTTTGAGGTCTTAGGCTTAGTTCATTGACCCATTTTGAGTTGATTTGTCAATGGTGAAAAGTAGGGGTAAAGATTCTTCTTTCTGCAGATGGATACCCAGTTGTTTGTTTGTTTGTTTTTTGAGAGGTTTCTGCTATAGGGAGTGTTGCACTCACCAGAAAGACAATGAGAGACAGAAAGACAGAAAACAAGAAATCATTCCCCAGGAGGGAGGGCCACATACCACAATCCTTTCTCCTCCATTCTCCTCTCAGGATCTTGGGCACACACATGCATGTGCAGGCGTGAGTTTAAGCCACTCCGTCCAGGACTCTAACCACGGTCGACTATGCGGGAGTCCAGCAACATAGCCATTATACTAACTGCTGGTCCCAGTACCCAGTTTTTCCAGTACAATTTACTAAAGACATTTTCCTTTTCCCATCGAATTGACTGGTACCCATTGTCAAAAACCAGTTGGCTGTATGTTTTGGGGTTTATTTGTGGGGTCTCTATTCTGTTCCATTGGTCCACATGTCTGTTTTTTATGCCAGCACCATGCTGTTTTGATCATCTCAGCTTTATAGTATATTTTGGGGTCAGTGAGGGAGATGCCACTCACTCCACTCTTCTTGCACACGATTGCTTTGGCAATACAAGGTCTTTTATAATTCCAGACAAATTCTATGATTGTCCTTTCTAGATCTGTGAAGAATGTCTCTGGTATTTCAATTAGGATTGCATTAAATATGTAGATTAATTTGGGTAGAACTGCCGTTTTTATTATATTAATTCTTCCAATCCAGGAACATGGGATGTCCTTCCACTTTTTTTCTGTCATTTTCCATTTCTTTATTTAGCTCCTTGTAGTTTTCCTTGTGGAGGCTTTTGACTTCTTTGGTTAGATTTATTCCTAGGTATCTTATACTTTTTGTGGCTATGGTAAATGGTATTACGTTCTTCAGTTCTATCTCAGTCTACTTGCTGTTCATATATGGAAATGCTATAGATTTCTTTTTTTTTATTTTGAGAGGTTTTTGCTATAGGGCATGTGTGCTCACCAGAGAGACAGAGAGAGACAGAGAGATAGAAAGCCAGAAATCACCATTCAGGGAGAATGGCCATGCTGCAATCCCTTCTCCCCCATTCTCCTCTCAGGATCTTGGGCACACAAGTACATGTGCCCGGCATGAGTTTAAGCCACCAAGTCTGGGACTTGAACCACAGTCGGCTACATGGGAGTTCAGCGACATAGCCATTACGCTAACTGCTGGTCCCAATGCTATAGATTTCTGTATGTTGATTTTATATTCTGCAACTTTACTGTATTCATTTTTACTTTCAGGAATTTTTTTTTTTTTTAGAGAATTTTGATATAGGGTGCATGCATTCGCCAGAAAGACAGAGAGAGACAAGAGAGACAGAAAGTGAGAAATCACCCCCCAAGAGGGATGGCCATGCCGCAATCCCTTCTCCTCCATTACTCCTCTCAAGATCTTGGGCACACACACACACGCGCCCGGCATGAGTTTAAGCCACCGGGTCCAGGACTCAAACCACAGTCGACTACATGGGAGTTCAGTGACATAGCCATTATGCTAACTGCTGATCCCAACTTTCAAGAATTTTTTCATGGATACCTTTAGGTCTTCTATGTATACAATCGTGTTATCTGCAAATAGAGATAGTTTCACTTCTTTTTTTCCAATTTGAATGGCTTTTATTTTATTCTCTTTTCTGATTACATTGGCAAGGACTTCCAGTACTATATTGAAAAGGAGTGAAGAAAGTGGACAGCCTTGTCTAGTACCAGTTTTAAGTGGAAAAGCTTTTAGCTTTTCACATTCAGAATGATGTTAGCTATGGGCTTTTCATAAATAGCTTTTATTGTGTTGAGGAATGACTCTTCTATTCCAATTTTGCTCAGAGTCTTGATCATGAAGGAATCTTGTATTTTATCAAATGCTTTTTCTGCATCAATTGATTGATCATATGGTTTTCATCTTTCTTTCTCTTAATATGACGTATTACATTTATATTTTTGCTTATGTTGAACTATAATTATAGACCTACCTAGCTCCTCTGGGAAGAAGGTGGAGTATGAGGAGGAAATGACAATGTAAGAGGGAAGAAAACAGAATATGAAAGAGGGGTTTGCAGATGGAGGTGTACTCTGCTTGAGAGCTGAGAGCTGCCTTGATCTATGGGAGACATAAAGAAAGCTAATTTTTTTTTTTAATCAAGCAATCTGCCTGGTTCGGGACTTGAACTGTGGTCAACCACATGGGAGTCCAGCTCCTTAACCACCACCTGCCAGTGCCATCACCAGCAATTTAAAAGAAAAAAAAAATGTGAGATCCAGCCCAGGCAAGCCAGGATGCAGAGTCACTGATTGCACAGGATTCACAGGATTTCCCTGGTGCAAGGCCACACGCTCTTTGGCTGTGGAGCCAGGAAAGCTGGATTTAAAGCAGGGCCCTAAGGAGCAGAGAGAGAAAGTGGGTCTGGCTAGAATGGCAGATGCACAGACTAGTAGGTGTGTAGTGATGGGGTGGACGGTTCTAATTGTGGTGCCCTAGCCCCTGGCCACCTGCCCCAAAGCAAGCTTGCAGAAGTACTGGGGGTCCCTTCTGGACTTTAGCCTTGAACTGGGGAGGTGGAGAATGTTGTTAATAAGAATGTTATTTCTAATAACCAACCACATGCGGAGCACATGGTGTTTGTCATCCTTCCAATCCATGTCTACACATGAGGAAACTGAGGTTCAGAGTGATAGGCGGTACCCCGTATCTAAGTGACTGAGCCAGAATTAGAGTCTGAGCAGCTTGGTTCTGCAACTTTCTGCAGTATTGCACCAGTGATGAACAAACGAGTATACCTAATAATCTACTGGGAAGCTGGTGAAAATGAGAGAGCTTTGGGAAAAGTATTAAGCTTGTGCTAGGGAGCCAAAGTACTGACTGGCTGGACAAGAGAGGTCAGTTCAAATCCAGGGCCATTTGGCTCTGGAGTCCAGTTTTTTGTTTTCTTTTAATTAGTTCATTAAATATCTGTAGAACACTTACATATTCTGAGCGTGTGCTAGGTGTTGGGAAGGTTTTTTTTAAAAAGTTGCCACACCTCTAAGATGCTGCTACTCAAAGGCTAAAGCCACATGAGAGACCAGGCTCAATTCCTGGTCCAACCTAAGCAGACCACAAGTAGTGGTGCCTGTGGTTCTGACTAATTGAGAGACTGGGCATGAAGACATAGCAAAACCCTGTCAAAAATTCTCTTGTGGCCTAGACCCTGTGGTGCAGCTGGTACATGCCACACTGCTGGAAGTCACATGCCAACTGCAGTTCAAGTCTTTGGGCCAGTAGGCCTGAAACACACCAGGCATGCACACATGTGCTCAGGTCCTGGTGAGCAGAACTACTGGAGGAAGGGGATCTTGGCCTGACCAAGCCCTGTGGAGAGTACTTCTCTCTCAAGCCCTGTGGAGAGTACTTCTCTCTCTCATGGTCCCTATCTCTTTCACTCTCTCATGAATTTTTTTAAATCCCTCTCTCATAAACAAGTCTTTTTAAGTGAAAATGACAGGAACATCCAGGAAAATCTCCATGCAGAAGACACTGGCCTTGGCCACAGCAGAGGGGACCCTGTGTGTATGTTTCCTGACAGGCACTGTGTCCTGGGAGTGTCTGACAGAGCTAGGTGAGGGGGAATACAAGGTGTAGGGGAAAGGTCAGGCAGGGTACAGCAGGAAGGGGGAGAATTCCAGAGAGAAGGTGACCAGAGTGTGTCAGGGCTGCTCAGCTGATCAGTCAGTTGCAGAGGGTGCAAACAGGCAAGAGAGACACCGGACTGGAGGGGCATTGGCTGTCCCCCAGGAATCTTTGCCCTGGACATGTAAACTACCAAGTGAACTCAAAACACAGATACAGATGCACACACACACACACAAACAGAGACTCACACACTGAGGAACCAACTGAGGATGCTCCAAAGATAAGCAAGATGAGCTTGCAGGACCCTGTTAGCAACTACAGGATGATGACGGCAGTCTCCCCTATCCCTTAGCCAAGGTAACGCTCCTGTCCAGGTGAGGAGTGACAGACCACTCACATGAGCTGTACTCTGAGGGAGGAGAAAAGGGCACTTTCCTCAGGAAAGAATAAGGCAGATAAAAGGCTTAGAGACAGAGAGACAGCTCGGGAGCATGAGAGCCCAAATCTCGACAAGACAGAAAAATGGAGAAGGGATTGCAGCATGATCACAACTCATTGGTAAGGTAGGGGGTGCTTTCTCCCTCTCCTCTCTTTGTCTCTGGCAAATGCACATGTTCTCTGGAAAAAATATTTTTTTAATTAAAGGGCCCAGCAGGTGATGTGGTTAAGACATTGGACTCCCACATGACTAACTGCAGTTTGAGTCCTGGACCTGGCAGCTTGCTTTCTTGCTTTCCCTCTTTCTCTCTGGTTTAATAAAATAATAATGATGATAAATACATTTAAATATTTTTAAAAGATTTATGGTCAGAAACAGTAACAACTTCACAGCCCTCACATCTTCCAGTTTCAAAAAAGAGGGAATTGATGGAATGTATACACAACCACACTAACAGTGACCACAAGAACACTGGGCACGTTCTTCCTGTGTTTCAAGGTGAGGTGTCCTAGATAAAACACCTGAAGGTAGGAGTCCCAAGTACAGTCCAGAAGAGACCAAGCAGGTGTCCCCCTCACACTTTCCTGAGCTAGCACCTGGGAAAAGGGCAGGTCCTCCCTCCCATAGTCTGCCTTTTATCTCTGAGTGGCTTGCCTGAGTAATTGCTCCAAAACTACCTTGTAAAAGGCGTTCTGTTATATT